TTTGTAATAGCTAGTAGTTACAGTGTAGTTACGGCATGTATTTCAGAAAATTTATTGAAAAGTTCGACTGATCGTGTGACAGAAAGTCAGGCCAACATTTTACCAAATTAGGATTGATGTTAATGACAAAGCAAACACACTTCAATGTAGAGAATGGGGTTGACAAGCCTCCGATTCACGACTGCTACGATTTGTGACATTTGAAAAAAAAAAGCTCAGAAAAAAATATATATTACCCTCGACCCTCGACCCACGACCCTCGACATGTGAACCTCGACCCTCGACCCTGGACAAAAAGATGGACTCTCCAAATACTGTCACATGTCTTTTCATAGAACTCTTCTAAGGTCTAATGTCCAGCTTCAAAATGTTGAGAATTAGTACTATGTTATTTCCAAAAACACTGCCATCATTTCGGGTATAGCTTTCTCTGAACATGCTTAAGGATCTAAATGTTACAAGCATTATGAAAAACACGGAAATCCTACCAACTACAGCTTCAATGCTTCGCCTTTGTTCAATTCTTATGCAAAACCTTTGCAGTCGCAGTTTCCTAGAACCTTCGATCATGAGCAGTAAAGGACACAGTAAAGTGGTTTCCTTAGCAACCGTTTTCGTTCCTTTTGCGCAGCCAGGCACCACAAAGTGGTTCGTCCCAGGGGCCCGTTTCTCGAAGGTCCCGAAAAGTTTTCGCACCCGAAAAGCCGCAGCACAATCTCAAACCTTTTGACTACAGAGCTGTTTTATTTATATATTCTTAATACGAACAAAGGTTCTCATCATACAAGAAGTTCCAGACATCAGACACCTCTCTGTCTTTGAATACCGATTAACTTAAAATGGCTTTTCGGGCCCGAAAAGATTCCGGGGCTTTCGAGAAACGGGCCTCAGGTCTCTAAATGAGCTTACCGCGCCTTAAAGGAGCTACGTCACGTATCTTGAAAAATTTAGCCTAAATTTTTCAAGTTCATCGTTTGTAATCCGTGTTAATCTTTTTCATCCTTGACCATCCTTGTTCCTTTATGGTTATTATTATCTCTTTGGTGTTTTTCTATCGCAGTACACTATATAGTATTTTCAGGTTGAGGTCCTGAGCTCCTTTGACTGATTATGTCCAGGAACACTTGAAAGTGCAAAAACCACGTTAAGTAATAAAGGCATTATAAAGTAACGCCGGTCGCTGCCTTTATCAACACGCTACTATACAGTTCACCTTGATATCAATTATTACATAATTTTCAACCTTTGAATAGATCAGCATGCATTCCTCCTGTGTCCAAACTGGACCTGCTCATCCAGCCTTTAAGAGCCATCGCTAAGCATCAAGGTCCAATTCGTGGACGGATGTTTTTTTTTTTTTTTTCTCTATATCTGTCATCAACGAAATTTAACCGTCAAAAAGACCACAATTTAACTGTAAACCGTCAGAGAGCTTTATATTTTAAGCATCAATCGTCAAAGGTAACCCGTAACTGAGACCCTAACATTTTACATTCCAGTTGAAACACAATTCTCTTCGATTAACAGGAATAAAGCAGAAATGAAGATCACCTTGTTCTTTACGTTTCTACTTGTACTCATCCTTGCTTCAGGAATAGAAGCAAAAAATAGGAAGAAGAACAAACAGAAGGACCTGATCAATATTCAGAAGCAGGTAAATAGTTGCATTGAAATCATCAAGACGATATTTATTCTTATTTATATTGTCCTCAAACAGTTAACAGTTCCATCAAATCAGACAATCTCCCAATCGGTCAAGCAAAACTTTATTAACGGGTCAAAGTTTAGCTAGTCCTGAGGAGAAACACCCCTCTTCCAATTGGGGACAATTGATTAAACGAATAGGAGCTGACACTAATTATTTACTTAAACGGAGAGATCACTTTCACGTATAATGGTCCGTCATAGCTTATCCAGGAACCTGTTACGATGAATATGCTCGAGGAAACACTTGTTACCCTGAATTATTTCAAGTTCAAGGCCTGAGATCGAAATTTGAAGGAAGCATTACCACTCTGGTAATTTTGATGTTTTGTAAACTCTTTTATTAATATAATTTACAACTTTTTGCTAGACTGAAAGTGTACTGACAAAGCTTCTTTGGAAAGCCAGCAAAGGGAACATACGAAGTGATGACTACTAACCTCGTGACCGAACTTTCGTCAAATTTCATCTGACTTAACGAAGCGTTGTTGAAATGCGATCTTTTATAGGACACTGTTTCGGTTGACGTCTGTGACGTCTTTGATCGATTTTGACCGATTATGCCTTAATTTCAGATTGCTGGAATACAAACAAAATTGTCCAATGCCGGCAGCCCCGATAATTTCGCCGTTCTCGACAAATATGGAAATCTACCTCAAGACGCACTCCCGGCAAGGTATGATCATTACTCGGCGTACCAATTGGCCTGGCAGTCTCTTCACATATCGGCCGCTGCTGCTTGCAGAGGAAGCAGCCCTTCAGGGGTTAAAGGCCCATACAAGAACATTGTTTTGGCGAGAGATAAGCATCAAAATAAAACCTGCAACGAGACTTGTCCCCAGGCCATATTCACTACCTGCGATGCAGAGCTGTCTATCACCGGAAAGGAGGGTAAGGCCACTGCAAATGGAAAGCACGCGGGCACGTTTTACAACTGCGATTGTGATTCTGAAAACTACGCGGGGGCAGGAGGTGATGAGGTGGCCGTCCCTAAATATGTGATCAGCAGCCGCAATCCATACTATTACTACAGCTTCTGCTGCGGTCGAAAGATTTGTTCCAGCTTCTGCTGCTACCGAAAGTAGTCTAGACATAAAACCTATTCGTTTGTCTTTTTAAGGGTTTGATTCAACTCAGCTCATGGTATAGTAAGAGGGAATAATGTTATTTATCACCGGAACCTAGTTTCTGGTATGTATCGGAAGTAACATCAATAAAAGCCTTTAAACGGTGCGACATTTTTCGTTTTGGTATTCATTTATCGTGTATCTATTACTAGCAGTCGAACTTCCGTGTGCGACCAAATGTCGTTAGAGGCCATCCTCTAGGGCGGGGTCGAGCGGAAGAGGTAATATCAGTCCGTCTCGAGGGCGAAGGCGAGGGCCATGATACTCAAGTTTAGGAACATAACACTTGGTCTACCCTTGCCATCAGATTGATCTCGCCGCATGAGGTACAATTCCATGATTTCCTGGGCATTTCAGTACAAGCTTCGCGCTCAATCACCCGCTTAAAGATTCGCGACCTCTGTCGAATGAAAAGTATAACAATCGTTATCCGTGAGCAATGGTTTGTTTCAAGAGAGGCACCGTGGCCAAAAAGTTTCGTTTATTAGTTATACAGGCGCGACACTGAATTTTGACTAAATTTGGTAAATCACTACATAATCTATATGCTTGGGGTATAAAATGAATAAAACGGAGCTAAACTTTCTTTTTTTTTTTAACATTTTTAATATTATCACAACATCACTTACATCACTTTCACTACAAAACTTAAGGTTACAGCTAAATTATTTATATCCCTGAATTCTGAGTATGTAAGGACTAGACAGGAAAAAAGAAATACTACAATTAAATTCCGACAGGTAATGAAATCGTCTTATACCGGCTATCTTGATGGATGGATGGATTTGTCATATGTGTCTTGCCTGTGCTTTGTAATTTGGCACCGAGCTGTCTGGGTTTGAGAGAGAAGAGACGACTCTCTTATATAGAGAAAAAGAATATTTCAAAATATAGCAAAAGAAGCTGTTGGCCGTAGTAAACATTTCGAAGCAAGAACTTAAATGGCTCTCACTTTCTATGTCCTTGATTTAACTTCAAACCATGATCAGCAGTTCGAAAAATGGTCCTAAACTGTCTGTTTCTTTGTTTTTGTGTTTGCCGTTTTTGTTTGTTTGTACGCCAGGTACAAAACAAATGCTAAACTGAAGTATAAACCCACCTAAACGAGAAACTGCCTTTAGTAGCTTTTTCTCCTTCTCCTTCTCCTTCTCCTTCTCCTTCTCCTTCTTCTTCTTTTTTTTCTAATTTTTATTTGCTCGTTCATTGGATTAAAATATAGTTTTCGTTCTCATTAACGAAGCTGTGTCATTTCTCTGGCTATTCGGGTCATCCCCATAAAATTTTCGTCTGTCATCACCTTCTCCCGGTTAATGAGTCGGTCGGTTGGTTACTAAAAGAATAAAACAAAACCAGAGGAATGGTGATGAATTTTCGTCTGTCATCACCTTCTCCCTGTTAAACGTGAGTCGGTCGGTCGGTTCCTAAAAGAATAAAACAAAAGCGGCCGAGAGAAACATTTGACAAATTGACGATTAAATGATTGCAAGTGAGATACTTGATTTTATCCTTGCCCCTGACTGCCGTCACACGTCGGAGCCAATATTACTCTAAACGTCACTCGAAGACGTTGTCATCTGGATGAACGTGAGATCGATTAAGATGTCAGAGTCACGTGAACGGATATTAATGGAGCTAGCTAAAGTATTTAACTTAGGAACATCCGAAAAAAATAATGACAATAAATTAGAAACGGTTTTTCTGGGAAACTCTTCTATCTGCCGTCTATAATTTGGTTACAGATCTTCTATTTTCTCAAGATCTTCGAGTGTATGAACTTAAACCTGCATTCTCTTTCAACGGAAATTATTATAAAGATAAATTACGGTTCACAACAATTCAGCAAATGACGAGGAAAAATGGTGAGTTCGTGAGGCACAAGACCGGCCAAGTGAGTTGAATGAAATTTTAAATTCGCGCACCCCAGGGGAGTACTCTAGAAAGTTTTGTACAGGGAGGCTTCGCCCTGAGGTCCAACCCCTCATCCCTTTCTATATCATTTTGACAGAAAAGGTATTCCTTTCGCATACCTTTCATTGAAAAAAGGATCCCTTTCAAATACCTTCTTAAGAACATTGCATCTCTTTTCTAAACCCTTGAAATAAAGTTAATGATGTAGAGCTTAATACAATAAAAGATACAACCGCAAGGTTCGTCCGTTCGAAATATTCTAATTAAGATTCCTTTTAAATTCCTAAATGACAGATTTTCCTAACCTTTCATAGTTTTCAACTCAGTGCAAAATACCTAGCCTTCTATATACCTGAAGCTTGAAATAGGTACTCCTTTTGAGTGGAGGCTTGCCGTAAAGGCAATTGTAGGGAGTCCCCCCCCCCCCC